GCCTCCAACCTAAGAGCGATGGCCTCCAACCTAAGAGCGATGGCCTCGAACCCAATAGCGATGGCCTACATCCGAATAGCAATGGCCTCCAACCTAATGAGGGAAGGCCTCCAACCTATCAGCGGTTGCCTCCAACCTAATAGCGATCGCATCCAACCCATCAGCGATGGCCTCCAACCTAATAGCGATGGCCTCCAACCTAATAGCGATGGCCTGCAGCCTAGGAGCGATGGCCTCCAACCTAATATCGATGGCCTCCAACCTATCAGCGATTGCCTCCAACCTAAATAGCGATGGCCTCCATTCCAATACCGATGGCCTCCAACCTAAGAGCGATGGCCTCCGCCTCCATCCTAATAGCGATGGCCTCCAACCTGATCGCGATGGCCTCCATCCTAAATAGCGATGCCCTCGAACACAAGACTCACTCATTGGCTGTTTAACCTTTAACCTTTATTTGTTTTCTTACTTTGCTAGGTCTTCCATTGAATAAGTCCAAAAACGGGACACTGCTTTGTCGTCGGTCTTTCGTTCAAGAAGCTGTTTGTCAATACTTCAGATTGAGAAAAATACCTTGCCAGAAAGACAAACGGTCAGCATTACAAGTCTTGAAATTCATTAAATGTGGCGGCGGACAAATTGCAAATAGATAGTAGAGTTAAGCTCCTTTGCGCCAGAAGGACCGGTGAGTTGAAACCGAGGAAATCGAGCATGTTCATTGATCATATGTAGTCACACACACATGCAATAAAATAGACACTTTCACTCAATTGGCGACCAGCGCGCTGAGTCACCCGTCAATAACTAGGGCAACGCTTTTCAATTGACTGATGTGCTTCGTGGGTCATGGACCCGTTGATTTTTGCGGCGTTTGTTTTGTGTGGCGAATCTTTCAGGGCTTTTTATATCAGATCGCGTCAAATTCGTTGCGTTCGCTTGACAACGTCGCGCGACCATTAAGACAGGGATCGCTTTTTCAACGACAAGAACGTTCTATCTTCATTATCTTCACCTTACTCGGCCTTGTTTTCTTTACCTTGTCATCTTCGCCATCTTGCTCTCTTCCTCTCATCCTACCTTGGTTTTCTTCATCTAGTTATTTTGGCAACCATGTTGTGACGGATCGCCACCACACTTGTTTCTTTTATGACCGGCTTGCCGGTTCTTTTTCTTAGCTGACGACGGCGCGGTCGAATTCATGGCATGCTTGCTACTGCCTCAACTCGAGGCTTGGCGATGTGTTTTTGTGAGTGATGAGATTTACGAAGCCCTTGATTGTCGATTTCTGCGCGGGATATTTTTCAGTTATTTCTACGTCATTTTTGTCGCGAGACTTCTACGTCATTCGAGATATTTTTCAGTTGTGCCTGCGTGCTAAAATTGTTGAAGCAACGGGGCAAGAAATTCAATTTTCGCATGCAACTGCGGCAACCACATCTATTCTTAAACCGGTCGAAGCCTGCAAAGCGTCCTGTGGTTGAATGTGAACATGCGCCTGTCAGCAAGAACGCCCCCCAGCAAACAATTCGCTATGTATAGCTTAAACCAGCGGCAAAACAGGGAACTCAAATCAAAGGCATTGGGCACACCGCGCACTCTTACTCCACAAACCGAACCAGACGCCGCCTTCCGTTCTGCCGGCGTAAGATGCGGAAAGGCGGCTGGCGCGGAACGTTTGCGCAAACAGACAGTCCGCGACTCACGACACGCTAAAAATGGGTTTTGTGTGCCAAAAACCGTGCGACCACAAGTTGTCAAGTCTGCGTGACAAGTAGGTGCCCAAGCTATACCAAATGTGTCGTACAACGTGCGTAGATTTTTCTTTCCGCCTGTGTAGGTAGGGTGCGTGGTATGTAGATGGCGTCGGTCGCCGTATTTGACGCAACGAAGCGAACGCAAAATGTTTCGCGCAACGAGCATGACATGTTTCTTCGCAGCAAACACAAAATGCTTCGTGCGATGAACAAGAGTTGTTCCCATGCAGCAAATGCATGTTTTGTGCAACGAACATTATATATTTCCACGCGGCAAACTGGAGATGTTTGGCGCAACGAAGAGGAGACGTGTCTGTGTAGAGAGCACGAACGACGTGTATGCTGCAACGAACATGAAATGTTTTATGCGCAACAAACACAGAATGGTTCACGCAACGAATATGAAATGTTTTCTTTATGCAAAACGCACAGATTGTTTCGCGCGATGAACAGGAAACGTTCCTATGCACCGAACACATGGTATAGCTTTCCGCAGCTTATGCCGCCTTTCCGCAGCTTATGCCGGCAGAACGGAAGGCGGCGTCTGGTTCGGTTTGTGGAGTAAGAGTGCGCGGTGTGTCCAATGCGTTTGATACACCTTTGATTATGCACCAACTGTTTCCCCTGAATCCGCAATTCGTTCCAAAACTCGGCCTCCGGAGCCGTCTGGAGATTGATTTGCTTTTTGCAGCCTGATGAGGCAAGGCCAGCAGTGACTGGGGAAGACTGCTTCGCTGGAAGAGAGCCATGCTAACTGGGGATGACACAGTACCAAAACATGCTCCCGCAACCAAACCGACGCTCAATCAAGGGCATAGTTTGAAGCCCCCTCGCCACACTCCCGAACATGCTAGCTCCTAACGCCAACCTACGATCCAAGAAGAACCGAGGCTCAATCACGGGCATAGGTCAAAGCCCTCTCATATTCTTTGTCCGGCAACTTGTTGAGGACGTCCGGCTCAACTTGAACATAGCCCCGCCTCACGTGGCGGCTTCAAAGGCTCGTCCGGCTCCAGGACATCTGGGACATCAGGCACTTCCGGCGGCAAGTCCTTTGCACTGCCATGCGGTCCCACGCCCTCGGCGCAGCTTGTCTCCTCCCCCGACTCCTTCACCTGCTCCTTGGCCGCAGCCATGGCCTTCGCCTCTTCCGCATATCGATCGCTATTCTGCGCCGGAAAGTGTGTATTTGCAATGTGAAACTCGAGAGCGTCGCTTCTTTGCCAGCATACCCTTCTAAGGTTGGTCCAGCAGAGTTTGCTTGCCTCGCACGGCCTGGAACTGAATCACTCTGCGTAGGAGAAGTTTGTTTCTGCCAATCGAAGCCCGAGAGTTTTTTAAGTGGGCCGTTGCCACGTGAAGCTTAAGAGGGCTCTATATATACAACACGCCTTATGCTTTTCCAGATGACATGTTGTGACGTTTTGACCGACCGTGATTTGCCGGCTGAGTTGAGGACGTGGCCATGACCGGACCCCGTGCGTCCCAAAGGCTGCGCTTGAAGCACAACCGGGGACAGGCCATTGTGACCTGTACATCGCATCCCGTTGGGCCGGGACTTGCCTTGATTCGGACGCAAGCAGCATGGCTTCTGTCAAGTTGGCCATGGGCGCTATCCAAAAGAAGCTGCCAACCTTTTTCATCTTGGAGAATGTTCGAGGAGCCAGGCGTGCTGACTATTTTCTTTTGTCAGGTCTTTCCTGTCTGAGTTTTGGTGCGACCAAGCTGCGTCTGACAGTAACTGCTTTTTGCCGGGAGCGTTTGCGAAGGGTTCTTCTGTAAAAAGCTGTTGGTAAGATGAGTAGGTTCCTTGCGCCTCTTAACTTGCACGTCTGAACCTCATATGCGAACAGATACCCGTGACTTGCAATGTAAGGTCACATGCTACTTTGCACAGGTGAAGTCACATGGTAAACTTACGCAGGTGACTCGCATACGCAAAGTGAAGTTTGATCTTGCACTAGTGAACTGGCGCTGGTGACATGACATGCGCATGTAAAGTCACATGCTAACTTGCACTTGTGAACTTACACTGGTGACTTGCACGTGTAATGTCACATGTTACCTTGCATTTCTGAACTGGCACGGGTGCCTTGCACATGCACATGGTACCTGGCGCTTGTATACATGCTACTTTCACTGGGATATAGCTTTATGTAAGCACTTATTTCGCTTGGGTCTACCTGTGCTAACTTTCTCACGTAAACTTTCACTGGGGTCGTGCCAGACAGAGTAAACATCATGCGCGTACAACATAACTATGTTCGCGCGTGCGATGTATCTCGGCTCTTTAAAAATCTCTTCTCTCTTAGGGCGCGTGTTGGATGCTCAAACGCTAGTTTTTTAATGATTTTTGGGCAACCCTCTGCGGGGATCGTCCGTGTCAAGCGCTCAAACGCTATAGGTTTTTTTGCGATTTTGTTTTTGCGCGGGCAACCTTCTGCGGGGATCGTGCGTGTGAAGCGCTCAAGCGCTAGGGTTTTTTCTAGTTTTGAGGTGTGCGCGGGGAGCCCTCTACGGGGATCGCGCGCGTCAAGTTCTCAAACGCTAAGGTCTTTGCTACTTTTCATTGTTCTTGGGCAATCTTCTGCCGGGATGGTGTGTGTCAAGCGCTCGACCGTGAGGGTTCTTGCTATACTTGTCTTTGTGCGTTGGGCAAACCTTTGCCGGGATGCTGCAAGTGAAGTCATACGTTAACTTCGACCTGCAAAGTGACATGTTAACTTGCACTTGTGAAGCCACATTGGCGACTTTGCATACGTGCAGTCACGCGTTAACGTGCGCATGTGACCTTGCGTGACTGGCACATGTCAAGTGACATGTTAGCTTGCACATGTGAACTTACGCTGGTGGCTGGCCACACGTGAACTTGCACTTGTGAAGTCACGCTGGTGACTTGCACGTGTAAAGTCGCATGTTAACTTGCACTTGTGAACTTACGCTGGTGACTTGCGCGCACAAAAGTCACACGTCAAATTGCACATGTGAGAACTTCCGCTGTTGACTTGCACGTGTCGGGTCAAATGTTGACTTGCACAGTCACATGTTGACTTGCACTTGTGAAGACACGCTAGTGACTTGCTCATGTCAAGTCACATGTTAACTTGCACTTGTGAACTTTTGCTGGTGCCTTGCACGTGTAATGTTGCATTGGTATCATTGTTACCTCGCATTTGCGAACTCACGCTGGTGACTTGCACATATACAGGCACATCTGCTGATATCACACACATCTTTTGCACAAAAACGCTCCCGTTCCTGGCAGGCTTGCCTGAGCTCAGAAGGGGGAAAGCCGAGAGCCCTCTCCAGGTCTATGACTCTGTGGAAGAAGTTGCCGGATTATGAGGTCCGGGTCGCAGACAACACCTCGAGGCCCTTACCTGAAGCACGGTCGAGAATCTGGTTGCCTATAAGCAAGATATGTGGAGCAAGTTGGGAGCTAGCAAGTGGGTCGGTGAGGTCCACGCGTATCAAAGGTACAGCGCCACCTTGCCCCAGCACCTTTTGAGCACAGCATGTGAATATGAAGTTTCTGGGCAGGGTGCAGCAGCTCAGCAGGATTCGGTGGCAAAGGCAGCAGGCGAGGCGGCCTATGCCAAGCACTTCAGCCATTTGCTTGGAAAATGCGAGGGGCTTAAGGATTGCAAAGTTCGCCCTCCCTTGGAATGAATTTCCAGTTGCGCCGCTCTTGTTGCGAAGAGTCCTTTCACCAGGGCCAATGCTGATGTGAGCCGCTTGTGGGGAAGAGTGAGGTCGGCGAGGAAGAGGTTTTCGCAGATTTGAGCCAGTCCGCTTACCGGCCAAAGCTTTCGAAGAATGGGTCACGGTCCACGCTTTGTACTTCAACACACCTGTTCAGCCTCAGGAGAACAAATTCCTCACAGGGCTAAGTCAGTTGAGCATTTGGGGTTGGGAGGTCGGCAGCTTGCATTGTAGCACGATGTCGGACAGCAACCTTCCTTCGGCAGGCAGCAGGCAATGGCATGAGCTTCGCCAGCGTTTGCAAAGTGCTTGCCCCGTTGCTGGAAGCACGCGGGCACATTGAAATGAAAAAGGCTTAGAAGTTGGCAAGCACCATAGCCCGGGGGCAAGTTTTGCAATGCCACCTTTGAAGCTAATTGTTTCCCCATGGTTCGAGTCAGCAGCTTCCTCAAGCTTGGTCGCATGGTCCATGGTCAAACGGCTTTGCGAGAGCAAAACATGTTTTTTTTCGGCAGAGGCTTTCGTTTGAGTCAGCAGCTTCCTTGAACTCGGTCGCATGGTCCATGTTCGCAAGTTTTTGTTTGCAGAACAATTTCGTTTTAGTCAGTAGTTTCCTTCAGCTTGGTTGATTGGTCAAAGTTCAAACGGCCTTGAGGGGCCCTGCAGAGGCTTGCCTTCTTCGCTTCAGGGAGTTGCGTGGGTTGCCTCGTGTAGACTCGAAACAGCAACTTGCGAACTGGCGCCTTACAACCTGTGCTTTCCAAGTATGGGGTCTCTCGATGTGTTCTGGTTTGGGCATATCAATGCTGCAGCGGTGCTTCCCCACCCGCGAGAAATCCGCGCGCGTCATTTGGTGTTCGGTGAGGCGCAGGTGGTGTTGGTGGGTCGGATTCGCTACAACAACCAGTTTCCCCAGGTATTTCATGGAACAGGGTGGCCCGATCATGGACGACCGGGACAAGCTCATCCTTGGCGTTGCGGAGCCACAGGAAGTGGTAAAGGTTACCGATTACTTGAAGAAAAGTCGTGGATTTCTAGCAGCAGCTTTGTTGGTTGGCCCCATGGCCACTTTTGCTAAGCAGGTCCCAGATATCATCACGTCATGAATGGGGCGCCTGTCAACTTTTTGTTTACAGCGGGTGGGTGGCCCGAACGCTTAGCAGGTTCCACCCAAAAGAAAGACCAACTTATATACTACCTGCGACAAAGGCTTTGGGGCACACGATGGATTACTTAAATTCCTTTCGGTATACGGTTTCACCCAAGTACCTTTGCACAAATAGGTGCTCCCTTTTATTGTATATTGTGGGTAGGCGCTAGTTTGACTTCTATACCTGATGAATTTCGCCTTGACAAACTTTTCTGTTTCCTTTGCCCCAACAGGGCCCTGGGGAAAGAAACAAATTTTGCTTCCCACGGCTTCCTTGGTTGCAGGAGTGTGGCAGGTGCAGGAAAAGAGTCCGAGGAGGAACCGAGTTGATGATCTTGAGCCGAGCCGATGATCATGCCAATGCCAATGTCTCACATATTACATAACACTCCTTGTCGCACAGATGCTTCCCAGAGATGTAGACTTTGGCCGGCACGGTTGGGCGGCCGAAAGGGTGGGCAGTTCTTGTTTTTTGGAAGAGGGCAAGTCCTACATCCGTTTTTTACATTGGTTTATTATCGGGCACCACATGTCGCAGGATAGGTTTGATTCTTTCCGATCAAAGACTCGCGCACCATTCTTGCGAAAGGACTCCTGCAGGGTGAAGATGAACTTGCGGGGCCAGACTTTCCTGCACCAAGTCAGTCAATGTAGGTAGACCGGAAGGCGCATGATGCCTACGGGGCCCTAACTTCGCAGACTTTCGTTTGTTGAGGTAGGACAGCTAGAATTATGTTCGAGACTCTTTTTGGGTTAGTCCTGGTAGAGATTCACAAGTTTGCACCATATAAGCATCTCCTAAAGGACTAAGCACCCAACCGCGGCTGATCGGTGATGACAGTTTCCCTGTCTCAGCGCTTTGCGCATCAATGTCGGCCGGGTTCATTGGAAAAGGCGCGTTGGCTGTCGTTTGTGATTCTGCGTTGGAAGGGACTTTGAGCCATGTCAAAGAATCCTTTTTTACATGTCGCCTATTCCCAAGCACTCCTACGCAAAAACAGGGCGCGTTGGCCTCCAACCTATCAGCGATTGCCTCCAACCTAATAGCGATGGCCTCCATCCTAATAGCGATGCTAAGAGCGATGGCCTCCGACCTAATAGCGATCGCCTCCATCGCCTCCAACCCAAGAGCGATGGCCTCCAACCTAATAGCGAT